CAGTTTAATACCATAACAATGTATGACCTAAAAATAATAATAAGAGAATTGAAAAATGGGACTGGGGATGAGTGTATTGATTGATGCCTGTGCAGTTGTTGGAAATAGATTGTTGGACATTGTGAACACCTCCCTTACGAGTTGAATTTTTCCGGAGGCATCGAATACATCAATGGCGATCCTTGTACAGAAAGTTACCAAGACCAATCTATGTTAAGAATTTAGGCCAATTAGTATCGTTCCAATTTATGAGAAGGTTCTTGAGGTTGTGGTGAAACAGCAGCTGTAAAGTTATTGTGACATAAACAATATTTTAGTGCCTAAGCAGTCTGGCTTTCGCTCCAAACATTCATGTGAATCTGTCGTTGTTACTGTCGGTGATGATTTCTCGAGGGTCTCGGAGGATGGTAAATTTGTGTTAGCTATATTTTTGGATTTTAAGCGTGCTTTCGATACAATAAGTAGAACTAGACTGGTAAGAAAATTATACAAAATGGGTATTACCGGAACAGCGTATAAATGGCTTTGTTCGTATTTAACAGATAGGATATGGTCTGTTCATAGATATAAGAAAGTGACCAATTGCTTTTGAATGGGATTATCCAAGGGTGGTCATTAACATACAATGCAACAAGATTATTACCTAAGGTTTCGGAATTTAAATTCAGGTAAAATTGTGGTTCGTAATAGAAAATAATTTTATACCTACCTGTGTTTAATATTCTTTGGTTTGGTATACTACTTAGTTTAAATTTATCAGTAATCGTTCTTATTTCGTGTGTAATACAGCGCGTGTTGAATCGTGTGCGAATTATGCAAAATATGTGCGAGTCTAGTGCATCTCAGGAGATGCTCCCGCCCAAATGTAGAAAACACTATTCTATTGAGACTAAAGAACTGATAAACAATTTTTATTTGACTCTCATTGAACGTGGTGTCAGCAAGCAAGCATCTTCAGAAGAAACGGCCACATTGACGAAAATTCCAATATCAACTGTATGGAAAATTGTGAATAATCCGATTTTAGCGAGGAAAAAAAGAAGTGATGCTGACATTTTGTGGGTAGACCAGTTATATGAGAAACAAAACGTGCCTAAATTAGATATCTTAATTAGGAGGCTTGAAAAAAATGAAACCGGTGGTAAATGTGGTAGAACTACCTTATGGGAGTGTATTCAACACATGGGTTTTAGATTTAAAAAAATTCACAAAAGGCAAGTTTTAATGGAATCTTTTAGAATTCGGAAATGGCGACTGGAATATCTAGAAAAAATTAGGAATTACAGAGAACAACAAAAGCCAATTATTTACTTTGATGAAACTTGGTTCGACACTTATGATACCCCTGAAAAGGGTTGGGTTGGCTCAATTGGTAAGTGTAAAACAAACGCGCCATCAAAAATAGGTAAAACTATAACTATTTTGCATGCTGGCTCTAAAGATGGTTGGATTCCAAACGGACTTTCTCTGTCTGCGAAAAATATTAAAGATTCTTATCTGGATTACCATGAAGACACCACCGCTGATTTATTTGAATGTTGGTATAAAAACAAACTAGTTCCAAACATTTCTCCTAATAGCGTCATTGTAATGGACAATGCAAGTTATCACAGTAGACAGTTGACTAAAACCACTTAGTCATGTGACACAAAAGTAACAATCCAAAACTACATGTATTATAACGATATTTATTTTCACGAAGATTATACCAAAAGGCAATTAATTGAGGTTCTACAAAGCGTGGACCTACAAAAGGAATACGACTGTGTTAACTCCAATGTCCTCAAACTTATAGAAACCGAAATTTTTAACATCCCTCCACAAAGTTGGGCAAATTCTGTAAAACATATAGAAAAAGCAGAACAATCGTATATCCATGTTGCAAATAATATACAACAAATAATAATTAGAACAGGCGATGATAGCGATAGTAATGTTGACATATTATGTGAATAATTTTAAGTAATTTAAATAGGTAATAAAAACAATTTGTAATTTTATTTTAGATTTAAACATAAATATACAGTGTGTCCAAGATAAGGATGCACAGCATGGGGATCTCGGAAACTATAAGAGATACAGTGTCGGTTAAATTAGATAAAAGTTGCGCATTTTGATACCGAACAAGATCCCGTTTTACAAATTTGAAAATTCCAAGCCGTTCCGGAAATATCCGAGAAAAACCGAAATATTGCGATTTCGTTTTTATTATTTTTTAAAGCTATTTGAAAAGATATGAAAAAACGGAAAACACTTTTCCATTGGCACTTTTTAATCTCTCCAAATTGACGTTAACAAATTTTCATTACAGCGTTTCGATTCCATGGAACCACCATCAACTTTGATTTTTCTTATGGGACGGAAAAAAAGTACACACAGTATTAGGTTGTGCTTTTCATTGCGAATTCAACGATGTACGATACAATACGGTTACTTATGTTTTTATCCAGAAAAATGGCTTTTTAATACATTTTATTGTAGTAGGCCATGAGATCCGAACGATGAAAGGCAAAAGAAAATGGTTGACAAGTTCGAGTTAATGTGTTTATTTATTTACTAACTCTAACTGTTCATTTAACATAACAACTAAATCCAACAAGTTAATGAAAAACAAATTCTATAACAAATGTTCGAATAAATGACCTCCATTTTCTAGGCATAAGTACGCCCGTCTCACGGTAGACTCCAAAACACGACTTAACATTTCAGGAGTAATTTTATTAAACGCTGCTCGTACTGATTGACGTAATTGTTCCTCGTTGTCAAAACATTCTTTGAATACCTCATTTTTTATGTAGCTTCATAAGAAAAAGTCCAAGGGAGTTAAGTCCGGGGACCTTGGAGGCCAAGGTGTTTCACTGTAAGTCCCAATGTATTTTCCATCAAACCGTTCAGTTAAATATTGGCGAACTTCTCTGGAGTTATGGGCTGGGGCACCATCTTGTTGGAACCAGCAGCCTTGCACAGCGCCTAGCGGTAAATCATCTAAGGCATCTTCTAAATCGTGCCTCAAGATGTCAAGGTACCGCTCGGAAGTTAAGGAATATAGAAAATAGGGCCTATAATCTTGCTACCAAAAATCCCACACCAAATATTAAACCCAAAGCGAACTTGATGTCTGGATAGTCTATTAACACGTGGATTTTGTTGCGACCAATAGTGTGTATTGCGCCTGTTATAAATACCGTTATTGGTCACCATACTTTCATCAGACCAAATCACTTTATATGGAAAATTAAAACTCTCATCACACATCCTGGTATACCACTCACAAAAATGTCTACGTCGTTCGTCGTCACCCGGTTTTAATCCTTGACATATTCTGAATTTGTAAGGCTTAAATTCATTTTTCCTTAAAATAAACTGAGCTGTAGATTTAGCTACCCCATTCTGGTCTTCAATTTCTCTGGTAGAAGTTTGTGGATTTTCGATAACAGATTGTAGAACATTGTATTGGTTTTCTTCATTGGAAGGTTTTTGTCGGGATAATGCAGGCTTCTTAAATGATCCATATTCTTTCAGATTAAATAACAAACGTCGAAAAATACTCTTGTCAGGTTGTCTCCGCTCTGGGTATTTGTTAGAATACATACGCTCGGCTTCCACACAATTTCTTTGGCATCAGATGTAGCAAGACAGCATATCACATTTTTCTTCGTTTGTAAAATTACCTCCCTCCATTGTAGAACAAAATAAATTAGAAAAAGACAACAACAATAAAAATACAAAAACAATAACTAAAGGAATAAACTTATGATCGACTGATAACAAAGACAAATAACATTAATGTGTCATTGAAATTGACTGGATGTCATTTTGTCATGGCCTACTCCATTTAAATGCTGAAATGTATTAAAAAGCCATTTTTCTGGATAAAAACATAAGTAACCGTATTGTATCGTACATCGTTGAATTCGCAATGAAAAGCACAACCTAATACTGTGTGTACTTTTTTTCCGTCCCATAAGAAAAATCAAAGTTGATGGTGGTTCCATGGAATCGAAACGCTGTAATGAAAATTTGTTAACGTCAATTTGGAGAGATTAAAAAGTGCCAATGGAAAAGTGTTTTCCGTTTTTTCATATCTTTTCAAATAGCTTTAAAAAATAATAAAAACGAAATCGCAATATTTCGGTTTTTCTCGGATATTTCCGGAACGGCTTGGAATTTTCAAATTTGTAAAACAGGATCTTGTTCGGTATCAAAATGCGCAACTTTTGTCTAATTTAACCGACACTGTATCTCTTATAGTTTCCGAGATCCCCATGCTGTGCATCCTTATCTTGGACACACTGTATACATAAATAAATAAATATTGTTGAGTATCTTTTCTAACAAAACCCCAAATAATTAAATTCTATGCAAAGTACGGACCTGTTCGGCCATATTTCATTCTTACCGACACCAAAATCTAATTGTAACAGCCTAGCTGCTCCCCATTTAGAATTTTGTTCCACGCTTTTGTTCAATTTGCCTAATTATAAATTAGAGCAATTGCAGATTGTTCAAAATAGGGCCATGAGAAATATACTAATATACTATAATATACTAATATAATAATATAATAATATAATATACTGCAAAACAAAAAGTAATGTTTAATGTCTGTGTATTTATTTTTAAAATTAAACAGCAGTGTGTTTGTGAAAAAGTTACCTGTTTCAGAGATATTCATTCTTACAATACAAGAAATTGTGGCAATTTTATGTTGAGAGAATGTCATTCAAGTCATGTACAAAACTCTATATTACATAAAGGCCTAAACCATTTTAACAATTTACCGCATGATATTAAAAACTGTCATTCTCTTAATAAATTAAAAGACATTTAAGACGCCATGTATTGTCTAAATTCCGATTTCTGTGTCCTTAGCTTTTGGTATCCTTTTTTCTGGAATTTTATGTTTTATATTTAGAATTCATAATGCTAAATAAAGATTATGTTATTATTATTATTATATAAATGATATACTTCGAACTAAACTATACAGACGGGCTTACCAGAGTCCCTGGTACATGGACGAATGTACCGGCAGTCCATTCTCGTCCCGATCCGCGTTCTCGGTGTAATTCCAGATCCCGCCGATGTTCCCTGTTTGTTCGTACCCGACGCACTCGCATCCCGCCTCCAGGCAGTGCCTAATGGCCGCCAGACCTGCGGGACCGGCGCCTACGATTGCGATTTTCATCACGCGCGCGGATCACAGACTGATAGATCGCGAATCCGTACGATCGTTTTGCCCCAATGATAACGCTCGGAATTAATCGAACGGAATGTAGATAGCGATTTTGCGGATCCGTGTGATGTAGTGAAGACGGACGAATGTTCTCGCTAGTTGTGTGTTTCGATTGTTTCCGCAAGAAACCCGCTTAACCCATATAAACGAAAACGTTAAAAAGAAATAAAAAAATACTGTTTCCCTCTGAAATTATTTATTTTGTTGCACTGAAGAATAGATTACATGTGTCGGAAAAAAAACAAATCAAAACAATTCTGGGTCGTAAATGAACCACTGGGAAAAAACAACACATAAGATGTAACATATAATTTATATATAAGTATACAAAAGATAGTTCAAATTCGATAGAAAACAACTAAAAGTAGATTATTTTCCAAATATAACCTGGTTTTGATACAAAAAAAAGGGCGAGCACACCACTGATAACACCCGGTTTCCTTTTTATGAATTTTACAAAGCATGAAGTATGTAAATGCACATTACATTTATTACAAACACAAATTGTGTGGCTGTGGCAGATTCTACATCTTCTTCGGGCTTTATTAGCATGAACAGTCATCATCAGGTGCGAGATTTCTTTGAGTAATTGTTTCATCAGTTTTTAAAAGTCGCAAAGCAATGTAAGATTTAAAATCAAATCAATCACTTCGTAATCAAAAAACATAAAACATATTTCAAGCGGAGTTTTTCCAGGAAGTCCATTTTTCAGTTCCTCGCATGATCTAAATTCATCGGATATAGGTGTGTGGGTGTACTCAATCTGACCTTTCTTCCATTTGACAGTAGAAGCAAGCCTGTCGTTTGCAGAAAGCATACGTCTTCTTTTGAATTCCTCATCTGAAGAATCCCATTCAAGGTTCAGTAGTTGATGAATTCCAGGACTGTTGAAACTAACCAAAACTATTCCATAATCTTGTAGAATATGTTATCATTCATATCTTCTTCGTCAGTCAAGGTATCCACGTCGGGTGGAATATAGACTGCATCAATATGTTCTGTAAATATTTTTCAGGTTATTTTTAGCATAAATTTACAAGGAATCGAATGCTACAATACATTAGAATACTTAAATCCAAATAATACTTACGACTTTCATTGTTATTGTCCTTATCCATCACGACCTCCTTCATAGCCGCCTCTCATATTTTACGAACCGTAACGTTCACTGCACAAGGCACAAACTCATACTAAAGAACACGCTAATTGTTGGATGTTTATTCTACCTGGGCTGACTTGTCTAGACTTGCAATAACAAAGTTTTGTTTCACAGAAAAAACCAGTGGTGTATTCACGCACCAGTAAATATTTTGAAAAATAAAGCATAATCAATATAGTATTTCCAATGTATGTTTTCTGCGATGTAATCTACATGCTTTAGACTTAACAAAAATGGCAATACAAATCCAAAATATATTTTTTTTACTATTTTGGATTTCCTTGAAAATGTGATACAAATTTATGTACCGCTTTTGTTAACTTTTGAAGTCTTTCCTTTACACATAAATTAGTGATTTCTACGGTTTTATGTCCTTTAAGAGTGATAATAATAAAATTTCCAAATGGATGTGCAAATATGTTTCCTGGATGTGACAAAAAATCATCCACTGGGACAAAATGGGTTAAGCTGTCGTTATATTTGTCATTTATCAGTGCGGTGCAGTAACGCACCTTAATACCCGCAATTAAATATTTGCATTTAGCTTGGTGATGGCTTATTCTATATTGTTGCGTTTCATTTACAGTAGCAAAAATATTGAGAAACGTGATAGTATATTATGCAACAAGTGTAGTTAGTTTTTGGGTAAATTCTTATTCGATTCCATTCTTCATTGTAGTTATAAAAGCAATTGTGTTTTTCAAAATTTCCCAAAAGTTATTGTCTTTTAATAAGTAGATATGTACATAAAGATAAGATAGAGATGGCTTTATTTCCACAAGACTTGAGTTGCAAGTGTTGAATATTGTCAGTATAACACGAATCATCTTAGTAAAATGTTAGATAAATAACAAGTACATTAACAATAACAAATAACGACTACGTATTAAAAGGTATCACATGAAAGAAAATCCATAATATGGTAAAATTCCACGGCTTAAACAGTATAGTATCTACACTATCCTAAACTACTATAGTATCCTATACTATAGCTCCGCACGTGAGGAGCCTTCCCAACAAACCAAGGCGTAGTTGAGACAAAATCGGTTGAACGATTATGGAGGAGAACATATTTTCCTGGAACCAAAAAAAAAATTTCAAACATTAAAAAAATATACTTACTAAAATTGCATTGCGTCCAATTTCTACCGCTTAAATGTGGACACGGAGTTTTACTTCTCTGCTAAATTTGAAGTTGATATCAACAAATTTGGGACACTTAAAACATTTCTCATTTAGCACGGAATATCGGGAACACCCTGTACAATAGTTGGAAACCTGAAATACAAAAGTTTTTGCTGTCTATGCGGGCTATATCGCAATATAAAAGAAAATGAGATATGAATCGTAGTCTTTCAGTAATAACCATTATTCAGTTTTTTGAATTTGCGGCACACCCTGTATATTTATTTGAAAAATGGTCGAGAACAAAGGTTTTAGAGCCGTATCTGCTGCTTCTTCTGGTTCAAGAATTTTTTTGGTCACGGAAACAGTTTTCGAAAAATGAAGTTTTTTCTAGACCCTTGCACGAGCGATTTTTTATTTTTTTAGAACACTTCCCTACTCCCCGCCACCCCATTTTCAATAGATCAATAGGTCACGGGGCAAAGCTGCATATATGTGCCAAATATGAAGTCGATTGCTTCAAATTTCGTGTTTCATAGCAAGCTCCAAAAAACAGTCGACAATCGCGAAAAAAAGATGGATACCGGCGTCGGATCAGGGCTTTTGTGGTCGTAGTGGGTTGAAAAGAAGGCAAATTTCAATTTTATAGCTCCAACGGTTCGAAATTTATTCAGGAAAAACCAAAAGACGAGAACGTAGAACGGAAAACGCACAGACAAAATTTTTTTTTTTTGACCGTTTTATTTATATAAGAAATAATCAGTGCAAAAAGTAATAATTAATGAGATAGGTCGCCTACAGGTGTTGTCGGATCTAATTTATGCAAATTAGTGAAATTGGAATATGAAACATCAGAAATATTTTGATTGATTGATATTTAAGGTTTATAAGAGCCACTGTTAAATTTATCTTCACTGTTAGATTAGAAAAAATACTTTTTGAATTTAATAGAACGGCACTAGGTGAGTAGTTTAGATCTTCAAGAACTTTTTTAACTAATTCAAAGTTCTGGTGGGTGCACTCTCCAATACGAGAACACTGTCAGACCACTATTGGGCAAAAAAAGTTGGTTGATGTTTCTTGATGAAATCTGGCTAGTTGGTTTTTTCCCAATTGTTCTTATGCAATTAAATAATATCTACCATAATCATTAAATTGATTGGTTGTTTCATTTACTTTTTTTTAAATGTCATTTACAGTTTGCTTGAAAATAACATCAACACTACCTTAACATACAGTTGAATCGTTAAAAATGATCTTAAATCAGGGTGGCCTAGTTCTTTAAGTGGTATATTGGCGTCAGACATAAATCTTTATTGAACCAGGTTTGTTCACTGTTTTTAGGTTGTTCTTCAAGGCAATGTTCGTATTGTTTGCTGGTAGGGTTACCTTCCTTGAGATTTTCTCCCTTTGAGCTGGTGTTTTACTGATTTTACGTGCTGATTCACAATAATTTTGCACGAATCTGTAAAATCCAAAAAAGCAATAATTAATTGGGGTTCACATAGGCTAAAAAAATTTAAGAAAATCTTTCCCGCTTTTGCCTAATAAAATATTTGCGTAGAAAACGTTTGCGAATACTAAACATTGTTAACATCATCTACCAATAAAATACCAAAAAACATATATCTTCATTTTTTTACTATATAGGGTGTCCCGAAATTTTAATGTTTACCGTAAGCCTTGGAAGTTAATAACTCCTTTCATTAGTTTGTGCTGCTGGGTAAATAAAAATTAAATGTCGATTATTCGACAGCTTTCAATTTTAATCATTGTGGGTAAAAAAATAGTTTTGTGATGGTTTAAAAATTAGTAGGAGTATACTGTGTGGTGGTGATGTGCGGAGTGCCCTCTATTGCCAATTGTCGGAGATAAAGTCGGCGAAGAAGCGCGGAGTGGACGAACGGTGTTGACGTGGTATTGATTGTTTTTGTTCGATTTCGATCTACTGGACCAGAGTCGATACGACCGGTCCATGCAATTTGTACTTTTGTTTTTCACGTATAGTAATACTTGGATTGTTCTTATAAATCATTTTATTAACGAAAGACAAATCAAACTATCAACTGTAAAGGTAATTATTTTAATAAAAATTATAAACTTTACATTTTAAAGGTGTTTAGTGTTTAGTAACTGTACCAAATTTTATTTAAAAATATTTACGTGTTTCGAAAACATTTACAATAAATACTTTTTGATAAAACTTAAAAGTCACCTTACTTTTTGAACACACCTCGTATACGTAATATACAATTCGGAATTTGTTTTCTTCGCATATCTTGGAAGAATAGACACCTATTTAATAATAATAATAATAATAAAGGGCCTTTCTTCGGTTTCAACGGAGATATTTTACAAAAATATATAACTGTGGGGGCGGCATCCAACATGTTGCTCTCATGCAGCCCCCTAAAACGAGCATATGACACAATTCATAAAATAAAATATAGCATATAAATTATATAGACATTCATTCAAAATGGTAGACATTGCTAGAGTGAATTCAAAAAAGAAATCATCGGTCTTTATGATGATAAATGTATTGCTTAAGTTTTTGTTTGAATGAAGTTAGTGAGGTGATTCATCTCAGTTGGAGAGAGAGTTTGTTGTAAGCCTTGATAGCATTGTAAGTGAAACTGCGCTGAAACTGTGCCGAAGTATTTTTGGGAACGGTAAACAGCCCCCAATGGCAAGTATTAACCGCCACCGAGAATCCTCTAGGCTAGTAGAGACCAAATTTACAAATGTTGTATGAGAATCTGAGAGAAACATTCTGAAGATGCTGAAGACTAACCTTGTCCTTTTGAAGTAGGGCAGGCCAGTAAACTACCATACAGTATGAAATTGAGGAGAGAATTAAGGAATCGATAAGTTTTAACTTAATTGCTGTGTTCAGAATATCTTTATTACAGTAGAGAATCCGAAGCTTGTAAAACGATTTCTGGATCAATCCAAATGGCCGTAAAAGAAGATCACTAAGTAAATTTTAGCAGCGTCTAGACTAATTATTTTTTCCTTATATTTACCAAAAATTGTGAGTTGGGCGTAATTTTCGTTAAGTAACAGACCATGCTTACTAGAAATATCACTGAGAGCACGTAGGTCCCTGTTTATATTATTAACGGTGGTATTAATTTGAAAGTAATTAAAAAAGAGATATACTTGAGTGTCACCTGCGTACTGATGGGATTAGATTATATTAGATTAACAGTTGGGAGAGCTAGCAGTCAGCTTGTCCGTCACTGCGACCCAGAGGATCTATTGTGACTCTTCATAGCTATAGGGCTTTATCCAGGTTCGTCTCTCTAACCAGACCCCACAACTTCGCCCAGCAGATGGAAACGCACTCTCGCTAGGCCTTCGCAGTGACACAGTACGTGTGCGGCTGTTTCTTCCTCCTCCTGACAGAATCTACATTCTGTGTTTTCTTCCACTTCCATCAGGCTTAGATGCCCCTTAAGCCTGCAGTGGCCCGTGAGCATACCTACCATTATTCTTACGGCTTTTCTATTGTAGCTTAGTAAGTCCGCTGTAAAATTGACCGATGGGCCCTTTAGGAATTCCTTGGCCTGTCTTTGCCTCGGCATGTCCCTCCACCATCGTCGGGATTCTCGGTCCATCCAAGCCCGAATGGCTGTTTTTGTAACGGGTTTGGCCACCCCACAACAGGGTTCTGGTCCAATTAGGCGCATAGACGACCCTTCGCGGGCTGCGTCGTCTGCGCCTTCATTAGCTTTATGCCCTCCGTGCCCCGGTACCCAGGATAGAGTAACTTTGTTCTGGCTTGCTATCTTGTTTAATGCCTTATGGCAGTCCAGAACTAACTTGAATGTTATTTTATTAGATTGGAGGGCCTTTATAGCCGCTTGACTATCGGTGTAAATTGCAATTGCTTAGTTACGGATCTTCCTCGTTTTTATTTATCTCGCACAGTGTTCTAGTGCAGTGATCTCTGCTTGGAACACTGTTGCTAGCTAACCCATTGGAATAGAGATTTTCCTTTTCGTCCTGGGTTCATATATTGCGGCTCCTACTCCATCTTGAGTTTTTGAGCCATCAGCATACCAGGTTATTTCTGCCTTGATTGGTGGCCAGTCTTCTCTGGCAGGGATTTGAGTCCTGTAGTGGTTAACGAAGCAATAGCAGCTGTAGGACATTGTCAAGCTTGTTATGTTTCGTGCTATGTTCACCAATTATTGGGGACTGGCCTTGCAATAATCTATATACTGCGGGTCTTGCTTCTCCTTGTATATAGATATGTATTGCCGGGATGTTCAGTAGGACCTCCAGCAGCAATATTAAGCAGGTATTCAGGCCTAAAAGAGCCGTATTTGTACCATAATGTGCCCTAAAGCCCGATTGCGTTGCTGCTTCTCAACAACTTTTTCTAGCACTTTAGATATAGTGAGGAGAATGCTAATAGGTCGGAATTGTGAAACATCATGCGGTTGAGATGTTTTATTCCTACTTCGTTAGAGTTGACACTTGAAAATGAAAGTTCTTCTGGATTTTAAGAGTTATTGTTGTTGTAGGACTAGTTAATGAAATCCTTATTTAAGTCTATTTGAGGGGTATCATTATAAAAGTATCGATTAAGTTCTTTAACATCCACAATATTTGAGACATCTATATTTACTGAAGGTCCGGAATACACATTAAGATATCTAAGTACGCGCCAGATTTTTTTTGAATCCGACTTAGCCATATTTACAAGATTTCTCAATTTTTATTTTATTTTTATCGAAAATTTAGTTTTCAAAACGCTGTCATTAAACACAACAATTCGTTTAAATAATATTTATTTACACCAATGCAAATAACAGTCATTAATAATTTGATACTCGATTTTGATGGGGGAAAATAAGCGTCGATCAGAATTCTTCAAATTCTTCGTCGTTTAGTATTCTGAAACGTTTCCTATCGTTTCTGTGTTCCACCAGATGCTCGTAAAGCGAGCATACGACCGGTTTCAGTCTATAGATTTTCCCGGTGTCGGCCAAATCGTTGACGTAAGCGCGCTGCTCCAGACCAATTTTGTGGGCGTGATGTTCGGGCCAACCCATTTCCTTCCTCCTGCGCATGTCCTTCAAAACCTCATCCAACATCGCCTCTTTGTCGATCTTTACTCGACCACCGAGAAGAGTCAGAAAGAATCTTACCTGGAACACGAATCGATTAATCAATTTATAGGGAAATTACGAGATAACTCACTTGCACACCCACCACAGGAAACGGGCACACTTTGAATGTGACCCCGATGAAACCCATCGTGGGATGCGCAACGTTTACGACGTGTTTGTAAAGGTATTTCACCCAATTGTTTTCCACCGTGATGCCGCATCTTTCCGTAAGAAACGGATACGAGTACTGATAACCTGGGAAGAGAGACTTTTAATAACTTTTCTTAGCGTTTCCGTGTAATATACCTGTACAGTAAATAATATCGTCTATAGTTTCTTGAGATTCGTCGGAAAATAAAGCCCGGTCGCCTTCTAACTTGACGACTAGCGGTTTTTGGACAACGCTGGCTCCGATTTTTGCGAAAGATACTCCGTCCAAACTCAAAAACACCTATGGGACAAGGCACGTGACTGAGAGAAGAAATATACTTCGGTATAATTGTCAGTTTCAGCTAGGCGGTTGGCGAGAATGAAAGTGAAAGCTAAACAGTGAATCGCTGATAGAAAAAAGTGACAGTAACAACATTTGGACACTCAGCTCTATTGTTGTTTTGATGCCGACGATTATGTTTGGGTGAAGTTTAATAAGGGGTGTTTTTTTTCGATGTATGGAACTTTAAGTTGCAATAAAACAACGATGGATTATTCGATTGACATGAATTTTATTTATCCGAAAGATAATCTCGTGGCAATACATTTTAAATATGATTTCTGGCATATGATCGCCACGGCTGGCGCGGATGTAGTCCAATCTGGACGTCCAATTTTCGAGGACTTTTTCCAACACTTTTTTTTTAATCTTCTGCTTATCGTAGATATAGGTAGGTACCTACTTATAAGTTTTACTTTGTTAATTAAATAATGGTATAATTGTTAGTGTGTCCTTGTAAATTGTGAAGTTAGTTCTTCATGTTAGGGCACCTTTGTAATAAATAAATAAATAAATAAATAAATAATAAATAATATCGGCAATAACACGGCGAATGTTATCTTCCAAATGGTCAAGCGTTTGTGGCTTATCCGCATAGACCAATGACTTGACATAGCCCCACAGACAGTAGTCTAGCGGTGTTAAATCACAACATCTTGGAGGTCAAATCACAGGTCCAAAGCGGGAAACTAGGCGGTCGCCGAACGTGTCTTTCAATAAATCGATTGTGGCACGAGGTGTGTGACATGTTGCGCCGTCTTGTTGAAACCGCATCTCCTGGACATCATGGTTATTCAATTCAGGAATGAAAGAGTTAGTAGCTCTATACCGATCACCATTGACTGTAACGTTCCGGCCATCATCGTTTTTGATGAAGTACGGACCAATGATTCCACCAGCCCATAAAGCGCACCAAACAGTCAGTTTTTCTGGATGTAACGGTGTTTCGACATACACTTGAGGATTAGCTTCGCTCCAAATGCGGCAATTTTGTTTGTTGACGTAGCCATTCAACCAGAAGTGCGCTTCATCGCTAAACAAAATTCGCTTATGAAAATCGGGGACAAAGGCAATCTCGTTTTGGGCCCATTCGGCGAATCTACGCCTTACTTGATGATCGTTTGGCTTCAATTCTTGCACGAGTGGGATTTTGTAAGCACGTAAACTAAGATCCTTCCGCAAAATCTTCCATAAAGTGGATGGACACAGATCCAATTCGGGTCTTCCCCAATGCTACACTCTACAGCAGCAATAGCTTCTTCTGTACGCACCGTACGACGTCTCTGGGGATGCGAGTTATCAATAAGAGTAAACGTGGAGCGAAAACGTTCCTTGGTTAATCGAATTAACTGCTCTGATGGACGATTTTTTTCGAGGATAAAATGGACGTAGTGCGCGAAACGTATTCCGCACAGAACTAGAGAGAGTCTAGTCATGATGAATTGCCAAACCAAACTGAGAATAAATCACTTGACAGCTGTTAAATCGGTCGCTACCTTGAACAGCAATGCCAACTTAAAGTTCTATACATCGAAAAAAAACACCCATTATATTCACCAGATCGGACTTAAATGACACCGTTGAAAATGAACATGGATCTGGCTGGGTCCCTCTGTTTGCACAGATCGTACTAATTATGTATCTATTTTTTTATGTGTATTTTTTTTACCTAGCGCGGCTACCCTCTTCTTAGGATAGCTTTAAAAACGGAGGCACAAAATATCTTATTTTGTTCATTCGAACCGTGTCCTTTTCATTGTATATTAATACGTGAATAAAATAATAATTATTATTAAAATTATTATTATTATATCTTTTGCGTTATTTTCGAAATAATTTTTCGTAATTTTTTTAGAAAAATTAGAATCTTGAAAAAACTATTATTATTAATAAAAAAGTTAAAGAGGTTCAAAACAATTTTAAATTGTGCGTTTTGTGTTTACCGTTTCTCGTACCTATGGAAACCAACGAGACAATGAACTCAACTCTATCTATATCTCACTTACGCGTTCAGCAACGTCACTTAGTATCCTGGATATGTCGACGCCGGAGGGACCAGCACCCACCACAAGCACCCTTTTCCCTTTGTAATCGTCCGGCCTTCTATAGCTGTGACTGTGAACGCTCCTCCCAGTGAAAGTTTCCATCCCCTGTATTTCGGGCAACTTTGGCACGGAATAGTTCCCGACGCAAACAAGTATCGCATCAAAAATGTGTTCGGTAATATTACCAGACCGAATGTCTTTTTCAGTCAGCTGCCATTTGCCACCACCAATGGGATCGACTTTGAGGACATGCCTGAGAAACTAAATGTAATGGCTAAACGACAATTTAACTGTATTAAACTTCCATAATACTGGATTGCTCCTGCGTCAGCAGGTGCAGAAGACAACCACGAAACCTGTAGCATGTAATCAATTGTTCTACCAGGGAAAGATCTGAGGGTCTATAGAAATCTGTAAGCAACCTAATAATCTTAGTGTTTTACGGTGTTTACGCCCCTCATTTAGCTCCGCCCCCCTCAAACAATATATAAGCAGGTACGGAGTAAAATGCGAGCCAGTTTTAGTTAAGCTCTGATTGGCGAAACGTTAGCAAGTTCGGGTCGACAAAACCTGGCGCAGGAGGAATCCAGAAGATTTACAAATAGTATTACAGTAGCCCGTGGTTGTTTCTTTGAAAAATTCCAGGAATTGTTTTTACTTTTATATGTGGAAGCAGGTCAAATCGTTCAGCAAAGCGGTTTACGTATTCTATAACTTCCAATTGTCCTATAAAGGAATTTCCTTTCTCCTCGTACGGAAAATCTTCAAATTCCATCAGCTCTTTGGGTAAATTGGTCCTAAAATAAAAAACGGCAAATGGGATCGTCTTATATCAACAGCCTGTGGCAGATATCGGGAACTTTTGACATGCTAATAATAACAATAACGTTATTTTAGTAAAATGCAATAACAAAATAGTGACACTTGATAAAACAAACGTGCAATAATTGCACAACTTACACTGATGCGTCAATAAAATGCTTGTTTGTGACATTTCACTAACAATGCATTTAATGTACTGCAAATTAAGATTAAACTTAAATTAAGATCAAAGATAATTTCTATAAAACAAAAATATCGCGGGAGACACAATCGGTTGAATTTTCAGTGACCTTGGTAAGTACTGTCAAGATTAGACATAATTAAAACAAATTCTAAAAAGGAAATAATTATGCACAATATAAATATAAATAAATATTTAGCACAATCGGTATAAAACACAAGATTGCTTTCGAAAAATTGTCGGTGGGCGGGGCAAGTTCGTAGCGCGTAGCGCGAAGCAGCTTTTTATTTTAAAAAGAAGACGCTTCGCGGATTCTTCTCCTGCATTGTTTTTCTATCGTGCTCCTGCGGACCACTATGGAACTTTTGCAAAATCGATGTAATTTGATTGTGAATACACCCTGTATAAAGTGTCGTTAAAATTATATTTCTTCAAATATCTTGCGACTCCTGTATTATAGGCGAAACGGTAAACTCTCTCTCGACACAGCATACGATACTGTTCATATTAATTAATTAATCATATAATATACCATAAAATAATATATAATTAAATCATATTAAAACTTTTTCATGTATCGCCAATAATTCACCCACAAAAGCGCAAATTTCTAGGATCTATTAGAATTTTTTGCCCACAAACGCGTACCCTGTATATAATTCCAACATTGTTCGAAATAGAGGATATAGCCCCGGATCTCCTTAGTTTCCAGGTATTCCAATTTTTCCAATGGAGTAAAGAGTTTTCAAAAAACTACTTGTATTCGAAAACCAAGCAATACGTGGTAACATTAAATGACGTCATCGCGTCTAGATTGAGGGCGCGAAATGGTGATTTTTATTTGGATTATTTCAAATATCTCGAAGAGCGTATGCGATAGACGAAAACCGTAAATACAAAAATTGTAGCCCTTGACACGGCCTACAACACCGTTTAAACGGATGAGCTATTGTTTGTATGAATTTTGATTTACGGTTAATAATTTGCTCTCTAAAAGAACAATTTTCAGGGTGTTTTAGATTTTCGTCAATAACTAAAACGCCTTGTATATAATCGAAAAAATTCGTGAAACAAAAGTTGTAGCGCCGGGTCTCCCACGTATTGCGGATGTAAAATTCTTCCGATCGGATGAATGGCTTTGGAGGTAAAGCTGTTTTTCTGGATGCCAAAATAACCACAAAAAAATTCAAAAATTAAAAAAAAATACTTCGCGTTATTTCATTGTTCCCAATTTAAAAAGTCTAAATGCGGGTGCATACTTCAACTTCTCTCCCAAGTCTGAAGTCGATAGCTACAAATTTGGAGTACTTATTATATTTTTTAATATTGCACGGAATATCGCGAACTCCCTGTAAAATCCTTAAAAACCGTAAATACAAAAGTTTAAGCTGTCTATATGGGCTATACCGCCATGTAAAAGAAACAAAACACAGATTTGAAATTATTTCGGTCTTATAAACGATTTTTGAAAAATGGTCTTTTTTGTAGACCCTTGCACACGCGATTTTTATTTTTTTTTAAATACTTACCGACCCCCCCCCCCCCCCCCCCCATTTTCAATATGTTCCGTGATTGGGCAAAGCTGCATAAATGTGCCAAATATGAAGTCAATTGCTTCAAATATTGGACACTTATCGTGTTTCATAGCAAGGTCCAAAAAACAGTCGAAAATCGCGAAAAAAAGATGGATACCGGCGTCGGATCAGGGCCATTTCTTACAAGCTTATGTGCCTCGTGGAGGGTTAAAAAGGAAGCAAATTTCAATTTTGCAGCTCCAACGGTTCGAAAGTTATTCAGGAAAAACCAAAAGACGAGAACGGAGAACGGACACACAATTTTTTTTTTTTATGGTGATCATTTCTGTACCAACGGCGATCCCGTAGGACTTACCGTTACCGAGATATAAAATTTTTATACGAGCGCAGATACTTTCGAAAATTCGATTTCGTCGATTTTCTGAATCTATCATTCTTTTGTTTTATTCGGTAACGGTTGCCTATATCACGTTTGTCCGATTGTGCATCAAGCTTCTGCATCTGCCTCACCAAGTCCAAATAGTATTTTTTCTTTTGAGCCCTTCTTCCTGTAAAATGATCCTGTCCTTTGGGGTACTATCTTCATTTTCTAAGCTTTCCACTCTAGATTTCAACCTGTTTATTTCTTCATGGTGCGTCCCTAGCTCAATTTTTATTTCCCCTACGTCTTGCCCGATTTTACCATTTGAATTTTGTAGTTTTTTATTTTGATCTGAGGCGCTTTTTAAAAAATCACATATCTGAACGTTTGTCACATCACCCCTTGGTTTTGCGTTATATTCCGGTTGAACTCGTCTATAGTAGGCGTACTGCAGTTTCGTCGTAAAGTGGAGTCAATTTTATCTACTTTTTTACCGCTTTGTTTTACCGGCTATTTCTGCTTGTATTACAAATTTGTTAAGGTTTGTTATATGAGCACAAGATAAAAGAAGGTATTTTTGTTGATTTTCAAAACACATTGACCAACGTCCAAGGGTTTCATTTAAAGAGGTAGTCATGGGAAGTGCTTTTCCTATTTTCACAATTGAATTATTTTAAGGAAAATCTTGGAAATGGAGCGGCGATACCAAGGCAGATGCAGATACTGCTGGATGTTAAAACGGGATATGCCCTTAAAAACACACAGCCGAAAAAAGACGATGATTTCACTCACAAAAATTTTTAAAGTGTTTTTTTTTCACTTTTTTTTTACTAGGATTCCACTTTTTACTTTTTTGCATATTTGCAAAAAGACCTTACGTGGTACAAATAAATGCATAATTTTTTTTTAAATAAGCCTACGAAAATTATTTAAAATCAGTTTCATTTTGTAGACCTGCGTTATTAGGACTTGACAAAATTAAATTATTCAGATCTGTAACAGCTTGGTACACCGTGTGCCAAATAAAACGACCCACTCTGCGATCTGGTAAGCCATAGGAGATACGAAAAAATTTTCTCTTCTCTCCTGAGGATTTCAAATAATATAATTTAGTTGATACAGGGTGTCCCAAAAGTGTCCCCTCCGATATCAACTTTGTAATTTTAAATGGAACATCGACATTTTTGGAATCCTTGGTTAAAATAAAGGTTACTTTCTATTCAAATTTTGAATAGTTTACGCAGAAACTGAGGCTATGTGTTTTTTAATTAAAGTTTATAGGCTAACTAACCAAGGTAATAAATTTGAATAAATAAATCTATAAAAAAAAGTTAACTAAAAACTGTTAATTCGGTCCATGAAGTTTGGTTAAAAAATTAATTAAAAAATTAAAATTAAAAATTTTATTTACGCATATAGCATTTACATTATCATTACAATATAGTTTAACCTAAGAAAAATAGTAACATCAACATTTACAGTTGCTAAACTACCAAGTTTTGATTAAAAACAGTCATCTTTACTTTGCAATTAAAACTACTGAGAGAGTCAGAAAATAAATCAATATGCTCGTTATTTGTGAGTAACATATTTGTCAGCTTGCACATTCGATTCATAGGCGAGTTAATGCCATAGTTGGTACTATAAAAATCAATATTAAAAAGGGCCTCATTTCTCTCATAGGAGAAATATGAAAACCAACAGATGCCAGAAGATCTGGGAAATCCATCAAGTTATTAAGGATTCAAAAAATATGCGCATACTGTCCAAAGATGTGAGATTCAAAAGCTTCATAATCTCCTCGTAGTTTATTTCCTCAATTTAAAACCTATCCCTCCAAGGAACTTACGCTGCGCACTCTCTATTTTTTCCTTGTGAATTGCATAGTACGGTTGCCAGACACAGCTAGCATACTCTAAATTGAACGCATAAGCGCACATTACAGCTCCCTATACGTAAAGATGTTCTCAAAACCCTTCAAAGCCCGAAAAACCAACCCAAGCAATCGAATAGCTCTGTTAGCTCTGGTTGAAAATGTTCGATTCATCTGGCATCAAAACAGTAAAGAAATATCAACATATTTAAAAATGTAGTTGGCTATGACATCACAATCTTTAATGTATAACCAAACTTTGACATTTCTCTTCTTCTCTTCTCTTATTTTTCATATTTCTATTTTATTTGTATTTTAAATAAGTTATAGTTTTTTGGTTAACCTATAAGTTCTAATTATTTATTTTTGTTATTAGGTTTTTCAATCAAGATAGATAATTTACTATTAAATGTTTCTTTAAATGTGTTTAGTACAGAGACGCTTTTTATCCAAATCTCCAGGTATTAATTGGCACCCTGTATTGTTAGCAATAGGTTTTATTGGAGTATCATACCTTTAAAAGAAGTAGTATAATGTCTTTGCTATTTAAAAAATACCTAATATTGCCATCTTAAGATAAATTACAAACTTACCTTGTTTTTTGTCCTAGAATTGATATATAAATAAAAATATAGGGTGTTCTATTTGAAAATCTTGAGATTTTGTTATTGAATTCGCCAAAATGGCACCACCTATTTGAGACACCCTGTATAAACTAAGACGCAACTGTCAAACTGATTGAGCAGTGCATCATCTCCTTGGTCTGTTGTTAAATTTTCGTTACAATACCTAGATCAGTAGCGTCACAACACAATTTTACATG